TAAGTTTCCAAACAGCAACTCTGTGCAATAGTGGTCGAGGCTTTGGTAATCAGTTCTTGCACAATGAATAGTTTCAATGCCCTTTCTATAAGAACTAGTGTCCAGTGCTGAGGCAGGAAAGAAGAAACCCCCATCCTTTCTCTGCAAACCCGAACATAAGTTGGTCCGAAGTAATCCTCACCCGTATGATTTAAGGGTGCTTGCTTATATCTGAGACGCCACACAGGTAAAAAAAAACAATTGGCTGAATGGTACTAGCTTTACACTTAGAGCACGTGAGACAAAGATAGCATTTTTCATGTTTAGTGAAGCTGGATGCTTAGTATCAAAGTTGGTAACCATGAAGCGAACAGTACGGCCAGTGAGGGAAGTATACCAGCGGGAAGAAGAAATAGAGAATATGTGGCAATCTTAGTTCTGATGTTATTAGGCTTATCTGAGGTGAAAGTTTTCACCTCAACGCGAAAAGAATCACCTCAACTCAGTTAGATTAAAAATTTTTAAAGTCCTTTTTCTGAAAGTTTAAGTCAACGAGCTTGTTGATATTCAAACCAGTACCTCGAAAACTCTTATTTGAAGACAGCATGCTCAACATCAACGCGACGACCCCTTTTTCTTAACTCGTAAACGAACTGAACTTTTTGCAGTGGAACATAATGGAATGTCTGATGGATGTGACATCGGTGATGAAGAAATATGATGTCTCCGAGCAGTTATCGAAATTACAACAAAGACCCTTTAAATGAATTGTATGGGTCACCGGCTGATCGGATATTAAAGGCCAACCATTATTCATCATACTGCTCCGATCAAAAACCAGCTGCTATCCTTTAGGGCTTCCGAAGTAAGCTTAGGTGAACTGCTGGTGTTAGCTGGATTGTCGCCGCTCAGAATATGGTGCTGCTCATCAATGTCGGTTGATTCGAGGATTTCCCCGACACGGCTACTGAAGGCTAAAGGTAACTTGTCATTGGAATTTCGCTACTGCAAAATTGTAGTACTATCTATCCTTGCGAAGACAAAAATAATCTTAACTGAAAATGCTTTCAGTATATTGTCCCTCAGTCGTAGGGCGCGCAAAGCAGCTTGAAGCTCAAGCTGAGTTAAATGAGTGCTTTTATTGCCTTACTCAATTTTCACCAAAAATGAAGGATAATTGAGACTTGTTCGAACTCATGAATTGCGCTCGGAAAAACCTAACAGCGTGAAAAACAAGCTATCCCGACCAGATGAAGCGCAACTGGTAACTTTCGCAATCGTGAACGGTTTCATAAGAATGGATAAAGCATGTTTTTCTGCGGAAGAATGGGAATCAAGTTTGTTGCAGGCTCCATTGGATTTCAACTTGTACCAGGTCTTTATCTGGTCAGTTTTAAAAAATTTTTGCAACAATACACCTAAAATAAAAAGACATAGCACCAAAAAATGGCGGAAGAGGACCACCTACGACCCAACCTATCGGTAGTTGAAAGGAAAATCTTGAGTTCTTGCCTCTCCTAAGTTGAAATGAGTGAGCCTAACGACTTGTTAGTCTTGTCGTATAATAACTTCAACGTCGTCTTAGGTAGATTGACTGGCGTTAATTGTAAAGCAACAGGCTCCCTTGCTAAACCGAGAGGGTTAACGGGAGGCGAAGACACCATGGTTTTATCGTTGCACCATCACAAAGAACCAAATCCAGAAGACTGGTTACATCTGATGCCAATCGAAGCAAAGGCTCTGTTCAGCTACGTGTTTTGCTCAATTACTAGCATACTTTTCTTTAAAACAGCGCATTTCCATAGTGCATTACTACCTTTGCATAAAACACACGGCGGAAACACACAGATTTCTCTTGTACTTTACCAGACAACATTTACTGGCTGCAAAAACATTAGTATTTATTGCATCAGAGTTAAGTACACGCATTTTTCTATGCCCCTCAGCCTTTTCTTTCAACCAGTTATTAAAACACAAGACTGTTGGACGCTGGCAATTAATCTTTAACGGTATGCATGGACCAAGCTTTTTGAGATTAGGTAGAAATTTACTGATGATTGAAATAACCGTTTTTTATTCGTTGGATCATTGTTGAACGACAACCATTTGAAAACTGCTACCAGGCCAGATATTGCAAAAGAGAAAATAATGGTTTTTTCCGAATTGTAAACCATAAGTGTTGAAAAAACATTTACCGTATAATGATGCGCGCAAAATTATCCCTTTACAAATTATACCTGCTCGGTTACTCGGTGTGACACAGTTGTCAAATAAGGAAAAATGTTTCCAGCACTACAAAATTGAAAAAGAGTGTCGATTTGTGTAGTATCCGCCAATCGCCATAAGTTTGTATTACTCGTACAAAAGTTGTAGATATAAAGTGGCACAGTAGGCGACTTAAAATAATATCATTGTATCTGAAATGACAATGCATGGCTACCGAAAAAAAAGACGGCGACTGGTTTGCTCCAGATCATGTGAAGTCACCACCAAAAGCAGGTGAAAAAGGAACCAAAGCAGTACCGGAGCACTAGGCTCGGGTACTAGAATGCCTATGGCAAACTGTGAATGTAAGGTGTGGAACGGAAGACTGCAATAACAAAAAACTTGCCTTGCCAACTAAATATGTAGTTTGATGTTCTTGACTATAGGAGCCCTTGATGCTGTGTGCCTATGATTTTGACCAATTCTTGTGTTAATTGCTTGAACGAGGCTGGTTCTGACAAACTCAGTACATGGGTGAAGGCTAGTAAAATTTGCGCACCACTACTGTCAGTGGGTGCTCGTGTACTAACAGCGTCTACCCAAGCTAGAGCAGTAGTTCGATTGGTTACAACTTTTAAAATGAGCTGGCCTACTTTTCTGAAGTTGCTTTCCCTATTTTTTGCTAACCTCAGATGAGTTTTTCCAAAAATCAAAAGGCTTTCATTTTCCTTTCAATTATTTGCCTTATCTGACTTTCTGTTAGTTGGTGCACTTCCAGCTGATTTTATTCAACGTTTTTTTTCTTTAAGCCTTATAGATACTTGATACTGTCTTTCCCGTTCATCGTGGCGTCGCTTATCAAAATTAATTCATGCCGTTCCTCATTTGACGACCTAGTGTGAACGGTCGAAATATGACGAGTGGGAGCAGATTTACCAATTTCTTAGACTTATAAGAAATCTTAGGTTTGTTTTCAGACACTCGTGCTTCTGCATCTTTTGAGTTTTTCGAGCTTGAAGATGTTTCAGGTCCAGTTTACTGTAAGGAAAACTCTTTTTTCCTTCTATTGCTGGGATTGACGAATGGTCAAGGCTCATCTTGTAAACTCTGAGCTTCATGCAATATTTTATTGTTCAATTTGGTTGTTTTTTAGTTAAAAACCTATCTGAGCTAAAAGTTTTTCATGGCTTTGAATTCTTCATGAAAAAAGTTTTGTTGCTGATATACGTTGATAGCTTTTTTCAAAGCATTTCGACAATTGTAAACAAAAATTTCTAAAATTTGAGGTGCGATTATTATTCTCAATGTGCTCAAGTATTCATAACCGACCTTGAAGCAGCTCATTTTCTAGATTTGATCTGGTTTCAAATAGCTTGCGTATCTTCTTTTGGAAATTTTTATCGACGTTTTTAATGATTGAAACTTTTGTACGGATGCTCACTATATTGGAATCAATACAGTGTTTCATACTAATCGATAATCCAAATTTCAAAAATTGAAAAAATTATATATTATGAAAACAAATAACAACAAAAAACACGAAAATTACAAAAATGCAAGTCATTCTTTGTCTCTCAGCGAGGGTAGTTTTCCAACTCGGATCGAAAAAGTTAGCCTGTGTAAAAATCGATACAGATGCATTCCATCACCTTTTTATAGAGATTTTTCACCGTGGTCATCTTTCGGGAGAAACAGGAAAAACCCAGCCATCCCACACGACAGCAGACGTTGCTTCAAATTGCATGATAATTTTCTGTACTTCAAAGGTGCCCTCTTTCAATTGAACACCTTCAAATTCCATCTAACATATTTTCTATTTTCTGATTATTTTTTTTTCGTCTTTTATTTCCTGAATAACTCTGCAACCGAAATTATTGTACCCGAACTTTTACAAAAGCAACACGTAAAGGTCATTTTTTTATCAAAAAAAAACTCAAGTCAAAAGCAGCACAAAAACATCTCATTAATTTATCTGTATCGACTGATGTGAGCAAATTCAGTTTTTATTGACAATAAACTTTGAAGATCATTTGTTGAAGTACCGTCAATACCGAGGTGAAGATCCTACACGAATTCTCCCTTTAACGGTTTACCCGTTGTTTTCAGAACCTTTCGTTGCCTTTTTTGACTCTTCTGCATTTTATTCATTACTTTTAAACCGATTTTTGAAATCAAATTGCTATTTTGAGTTTTACCCACAAAAAAGTAGTTTTTATACCAGCTGTAATCATTTTTGAATAAAACTTGCTAGATAAAACACTAAATAAAACAAACTAAAACTTAATTCTTCCAAATTAGAATCATGATTGTCTCAAATCACCAAAGTTTTGGATGCGTTTTGAATGACGTTCCAATTTGGCTTTTGTTGCTCTTAGAATGGTTTGAAACAAATTTTTGTAATGTAAAATTGGCATCTTGGCAAATCGAAAATCTATAAAAATATGATTATTGTGCAGAAAAATCTCTTATTCTGGGGGTGAGAACGGTCGTTAATTTCTTGAATGAACACAAGTTTTGTAATTTTTTTGAAGACTGTCCAAACCGATACCCGACTCTTTGAATCCCTTGGGTGATAAAAGAAATGAGTTGGTACCATAAAACATTGCTTTGGTAACTTTTATTCCGGTGGAATTTTAGTATTTTTTCATTAACCTTTGCTGTAATTATAGGCGATGACAATATGTTAATACATATTTTCGCAGCTCAAAATACAGATTTTAGGAAAAACATTCTGCTTGAGGTAATTCATCCTTTCATATGAGGAAAAAAGCTCGAATAAAATTGCTGTTTTTTATTTAGTAATATTTAACACTCAATCCGCAACGGAGAAAACTATTTTGTAAGGGTGACAAAATAACCAATAAGATCTTTCAAAATAGCATTTTTGGGGGCTTGGCTTACATTTGACATGATTTTTCATTTAATAGTCATATAGTACAAAAAGCACCATTCTGATATCAGCTCGAGTTTCTAATTTATTCGTGCTTTCAAAACAAGCTGAGTTGAATAAGAACTCTCTGACTTCATTTTTTTGTTCTAAAAAACACCATCTTAAGTGAAAATGGGTAAATTTTGTTGGCAAACTCTAACTTTGACCATTACAATTCTAGCGTGTTTCGTCATTCAAATATGCCAGTCGAAATACACTAACACAGGTGAGATAATTTTCTGTTTTAATATTTGAAATCATTTTTACCCTTCGAAGGCTTCTTGAACAACATAAATGTGTAATTGCAATCTGGCTTAGATCAACTGATTTCAATATTGTCAAAAGCTCGTTAAATTTGAAAATTGACTAAACATTCACCCATTAGTAAATTATTTAGTTTGGAATCACAATTCTATGCGTCTACAAATTCTTTTTAAACATAAATAACAAAACAAAATAAAAACTTCCTTAAAATTTAAATCATAAAACAATTTTGTTTTAGCATCACATAATAAAAAAAAATTAGATTCATCAAAAGATTAGGGCAAATATTAAAAAACTTTGAAAGAAGTGAGATCGGCTTTGAGACAAGTTATATCAGTTTCAGACGTCTGATCGGATGAAATGATGTAATTAACAAAATAAATTGCATCATTACCGGTTAGTGATTAGTTATTCATCTAAGTCATCAGTAACTCCAGGGGGCAAAATCTAGGGTTTTCTCGAGGGGGAGGGCGCATCTTCAAAAAACTTTTGAAAATTTTGTCAAAATTTTTTTAGGTCGACCAATTTTAGGTACTAAAAAGACCCTGGTTTGGCCAAATTTTCTGCGCCTCAAGCAAAATTTTGAAAATCGGGCAAAAAAATACTTTTTTAGGCACTTTTTGTAAACTTTTGACCAAAGAATCGCGTTTTTTCGGTGCGCGCTCCCCCCTCAAGATTAGTATTTATTGGCGCCAAAGGCGCCCTTAGAAAAATTTAGAGGGCCGTCAGCCAAAAATAGATATCTCAAAACAATTCAAAGGGGGACCCTTTGGGTAGGCAGGGGGTGGAATCCCTGAGGGGGGGGGGGGGGAGAGGCTTCTTGAATAACTCCGCAAACTTTTTTTTTAATCCTCTATCGCAAAATTTTATCAACATTTCTCACTTTTTCGTTTTTACAGTTTTTTCGAATTATTTTTCTATGCGATTCTGATCAGATGTTCAAACAGTCTCAGCATCATGAAGAACTATTCAGGTTATTGTTCCGTCCACCTCTGAAGAGTGGGAAGGAGCTAGGGCGTAGAGTCCATTTTACTACCTCAAGAAAAGCTTGCACGGTGTTTAGTGTGGTATGATATTAAAAACCTAAATTTAAAAAAATCGTTTAGTGTCAAAAAAACTGCTGCAAATTATATTTTACATTTTCCAGACTAAATTAGACGAAATTAGATAAAAAACTGACTTCCCAAGTTTAATTCTACAACAATTTCAACGTTATTTTAATTATAGAACTGCTTTTTCTTATAATATTCACCTGATTCAATCACTTTCTGGAGAAAAAATCATAAAAACTTAGACAAGTTGGTAAAGTTTTTTTAAAAAAATTTGTCCTTTCTTTTTTGCAAGTTTTTCTTTAATTTGATTTTCTTTTTTTTTAAATCACACTTTGATCGGAACTTTCTGTGCTCCTTGCACAGCAACCTGCGGTTGTAGTCAGACTATAGCTCAAACTGTTGAAAATATGAGGCTGATAAAGTGTGATATTTTGACGCTCAAAAAATTCGCCTGAAAAACTCATGTGTATAATAAAATGAGTAAACAATTGGAGTAGTGTCTCGCTACAGTTCATATGTTTCAGTGTAATCGAAGTTATGTACTCGCATCCAGAAATCTTCTCGAAGGTGGAGCTCAAAAATATCAGTTAATGTTCGATTTTTTATAAGGTCAATTAAATTAATTTTCCGAGCTCTCGTGAAAAATTAATTTTCTCGGATCCCAAAGAAAACCCAAAAACGACCTATTACGTCGTTTTTTGGAAGGATTTGACCAACAACAGCGAATTGCAAGCACGTGTTCCCTTCGAATTTAGCGTTTATAATGGCGTGTATATTGTTTGTCTACGAAAAATGGATATCGTACCATCGGACCCTTTTAGTTGTCAAGGAGTCCAATTGGTGCCAGGACATCACCCCTCCCAAAATTCGCCGCTGGATGCGCAAATTCCATTACAAGCTTGATGCAATTTGAACAATGCACTTGATAAAACATACTTTACTTGCGATCAGTTTTTTTAAAGTTGTGGAATATGAAAATTAGAAAACTGGCACCCATTTGTAAATTATTAAAGCACACTATATTTCCAATTTTACTTGACCAACGGGTCAGCCGCGAATTATTCTGCACTCAAACGCTTTCCGAATTTAAAAAAGAATTACTCTTCTGTTGGTCCAAATAAGCCGTCAACACTATTTCAAAAAGCTACAATACTAACTTTTTGAAAAAAAAATTTGTCGAAATATAGTAACAAAAAAAAACAATTTCGTAGTATAATGGTCCGTCAAAATAGTGTGTTCTGCCCTAAAGACTATTTTCAACACACCTTTTTTCTAATCATTTCGCTGCATACTACGAAACCCACGTATTGAATTGACTCAGATTCTGGTGATAAGATGGCATTTTTAGTTTTGGTAAATTTTTGAAGGGAATCGTCTTGTTTGTGATGTACTGGATGTATTTTTACGCGAGTGAGTTCTCAAAAAAGATTCCTTAAAAGAACTTAACAAAGACTCCAATAGATTGCTTTAAAAAATATCTATTTTCATGTTTAGGTTTTATTCATTTCTCATCAAAAGTGGGGGGGAGCAGTTTTCAAGGTTAATAAGTCGGAAAGGTAGTGACTGTTTTGAAGTTATTAAATTGATTCATAAAAATGGTGAGAAAAATGAATGAAAATACTTGATGTAATCAATGATAATTGTGATTTCTGCAATTCGCAAAGAATCAATGAAAGGCTATCCAGCCTGCCTAAGCTAAGTCAGTTTCTCTTACTTCTCCATATTCAGATTGAATTATTTTGTTGAGCAAACTCTTTTTTTTTGCTAATCAAGAGAGTTTTTGCGCCTTGAATTTTCATGTGGTACCACTATTCCAGCCGTAATTGGTCAGGCTGTGGTAGACCTGAAGCTAGATGTCAGGTGAGAGCTCGTCCTCACACTCTATCATTGCCGTTTCAAGGCATCAATTACTCGATTTGACAATCTCAAAGTAAACGCCTTATCACCATGCCAAGTGACTCCACTATGTTTGGATTCCAACATTTTTAGATTCAAACAAAAATTTCAAAAATGGACAGTACGACAGCTAAAAACAAATCCACTAACTCCAATTTTTTTACCTTCGAAGGTTGAAAGTCCTTTATTTCCAACGTTCGGATGTCGGAAATCACTGTTTGGGTTTTGGATAGCAAGCCGATAAGATTTCAAGTGTAAAAGCGGAAAATTTGGGTATGTATTTCAAAAAATGCTTTTAATGCATTGCAAAAGTCAAAATGCATTGAGATTGTATTTCAAAAAATGTTTTAAATGCGTTGCGATTGTATTTCAAAAAATGCTTTTAATGCATTTTTAAATTATATCTTTTCAAGCAGCCATTGTTAAGGGCTACATTTGCTCAATTTGTTGAAATAATAGATAGAAAGATTTTTAAGCACCCGAAAAAAGTAAAGTTCAGCTAAAATTCAATCCGTTTGAACTCCAGTCGGCTTGTTACCCTAAACTTGTTTATTTGTACAGAGCTGAAAGAAATCACAAGCAAACTTTTTTAATCATCACTGTGATTTCTCTGATTTTTACCCAGCCGAACTTTCGATTAGCAAAAATTTGGCAAATAGGAGAGTTTTGGTTAAATGAATTGCGCATGTAACTGTTATGCAAATTTCTAAAATGGATCAGCAACAAAACAGCCATGCTTTAGCGTATAAAATATTCAAAGCTAAATGTTTTGTGATAACGCCACGCTTGCAATCAACTCTAAGGTTGATTTTGGAACTAAGATGATTCCCGCATCCAGTCATCTTGAAAATTTTGTCAAGATCTTGAAGGTTCTTGAAAAGTTGTCAAACATAGCAAAATTTAACTTATCTTTAAATCATAGAAAAACTTCAGGTTTTTTATGTATTTTTTGCCAATTTTTTGAGATCTTTTTGATTCTTATTATTATATTTTTTTTGATTGCCTCAAATACAAATCAAACTGGCAATCATTGAGAATGCTTAAGATTTTTCACTTGCAAAAAAAGTATTTGAGTTATCTCCAGTCATGAAACATTAAAACTTTTACTCAGTTATTTCTTCGATCATTGCTTTGATTTTGTAAGATTCAATTGTTTTGTTAATGCTTCAGTTTATTGAATTAAATATGAGTTTTATAGATGACTTCTAAAATTTGTTATAATTTTTATCCGGCCCTTTTTTCCACATTTTCCTCGCCTAAATTTTGGTTTATAAAGATTTTCCTTTCCAAAATTGTGGTTAAGCTTACAAAGTTCCTTGAAAAACGTTGTAAAGATGACGGTTAACTGCTAACCTGTCATCGAATATCTGGCATCGAATAATTTTTAGTTTCCAGATATCACGGATGTCCCGAGCAAGCAAGTTGGAAATCTTGCACAATCTTGCATGGTTACCTTGGCAGGATTTTCCTACATCAAAACATTGGGTCGTTGAACTACGAGGTTTTTTGAATTACTCTTTGTAGTCAAGGTAGATGAAACGACGGGCTTTTGAGACGACCAGACATTATAAAATTAACTGCTTTTTGATAATGGCGACTTTTTTCTCATAAACCAGTCACTTTAATCTAAAAATCTGAAAAAGTAACTGCAACAATTAGTTTTGTCCTTGTTGTACTAGTTTTTCAAATTTCTCATGATAACAGTTGTCGTTTTTAACAGCAGTTCTTTGATTTTCCGGACATTGCAATTCGTTTTGTTTTTCAATCAAAACGGCATTTGCGCAAATTAACCGCCTAATGGCGCCAGTAAGAAAATAAACGGATATAAGTGATCGCGCCAAAGACAAAGCCAGGCGTAACAGATTCCAAGTGCACACGAAGAAAAAGCATTATGGCTACAAATCCCTATAGATCAGTTTAGTAACGAAGGGTTGAGCTTACTACAATTCATAAATGATCGCGTTTGATTAAGTAAAAAGATAGTTGAGTAATTTCAGAAAAATACACGTCTATT